AACTGCGACAGCCTCTGCCCCTCCGCACTGTCTGCCTGCTCCGCCTGCTCCAGCTGCTTTGCCTGCACTGGCCAGTCGCTCTCACTGTTGCCGTACACCTGCTCATGCACACGTGACAGGACTTATTACATTTACATACAAAGTACATCAACAGATTGGACAATCCTGATAATGTTGATAGTAAAACTATGATACACGTGAGAAAGAAAATAATTACAATAAGGAAAATAAAAAAAATAAAAGAAGAAGATGATGAGAGAAAAGAGAGAAGATGTAAATGATAATCAACAGAGAACAGAGTAACAATGGTCCAAACATTGTTTAAAGGTGTGAATGCTGGGAGCAGGTAATTGACTTCAATGACCAACATCTCTATTCTATTCAAGTTGTCTTTGTTCAATTCTCAATCCTCAATATGAAGGCGGATGGTGGAGATTTTGGCAAAGAGAACTGCATTAGCCTCTGCCCCTAGTGCTCTCCTTCTACACCGATCCATCGTTCTCATTCCTGTCATGCTCTCCCAAATTGAAAGTCCAAGACCAAATTATTTACCTAATTAATAGGACTGATGCTGTTCAACAAACATAGTTTTCTTGCATATCATACAAAAATTTATTACGAATTTCTAGGAAACCGAGTTGTTAATATCTGAAATGTACTATTCCAGAACGCAGTGACGGTACCTAATCTTCAAGTTTCCAAACAGGCTTATGATATGCTGAGTAGCTATGCCAGCAGAGCAGAGACTGCTCGCACAATCTCAAGCAGCTGACGTGCTTGGCAAATGATTGCTTGCTTTGATGTGTCCCAAACAGAGGCTTGCGGTGGGTAGGGGAAATAATGAATGTTCATGACACGCCAAATAGTAAATAACCTGTCCACACTACGAGCGATTCGATGAGCAGTGGCTTGCGCACTAAAATAACAAATGTGTGGAGCTGCATTAATCCAACATACTCTTATAAGTACAATGATAAATCAAAACAAAAAACTGCCCCACGCAAATTGTGTAGAAAACTCACAATTTTATTTAAATGATCAAATTTTAAATGGTTTGATGCAAAGCTACTGGTTTTGGCATTTTTATACCTTACAGTAGCACATTTCAATGTCAGAAATGCACTTTTGCTCTGGAAACTCACATGAACTCATAAAATTTATATTAGGCAGTGACATTGACGATAATATTGTGATTGCAATTACAAATGGTATGTAGATGACATATTATTATGATGAAACTTGATAATTATCCTGACAGATTCAGTAAAATAAAAAGAAAAGAGTAAATATAAGTTTAACACAAATCATGTGGAAAAAATGAAATCAATTGAATAACATGCCTATATTACTGGATGTAACAAACAAAATTAAATACAAAATAAAAAATCAACAATGTATATAAAATGAGTAACAAACTGAAAATCATAAAAAAATCCAAAGACAAACAGATATTGGAGATAATAAAATGTCATACACAAGATACAATGTAATTGTGACATGAAATACATACGACAAACAAAAAGATAAGTACAAAAAGAAAATGAGCATAGAATAATATCAGGGAAGTAATAAGAAACAGAATTCTATCACAAACACAGAATTGATCAACAACTTAGAATACATTTTCATGACAAAAAATTATAGGAAAGGAAAAAAGGAAGACACCAAGATTAATTTTTGAACAATGAATATTAAATTAAGATAACTATGATTACGTAATTGATACAAACCAGATTCATCTACATACAACAATGTATTTAAGCACTAAGTAAATTCCTCTGGGAATCAACCTTCACTCTCCCCCCCTCAGTTTCCAACAAGACGTGTTCTATCTCGCTTTGTAAGTAGACATGACAGAAAACACCATCTATCCAAGATGCTAAGTCCAATAAGAGAAAGTCCGACCTCAACACGATGAACAAATAATCTAAAGTGAACCTTTGTTTTGTGTGAAAAATGACATGTATAGTTGTTGAATTATATAAAAGAAGGACTAGGTTACATGAGTCATACATTTTATGTTTAATATTAGATAAAGGCGAATCAATGGATGAAAACTTTTGTTTAAAGATAATCTTTTAAACAATTTGAATGTTTTAAAATTTTAGAACACTTACATATAAAAATTAAGGAAATATATTGTATTTATTTTTTAGAGTATTTTAAGGACTTAAAATGATTCATATAAAGTAATAATGAAAGTAGATAATTAAGATTTTATCATGTATGGGCAGAGACCTAGCAATAACAAATAGATCACCAAAGTTTCTAAGAACCAATGATTGGTTTGAAATGGTGATGGTTTCAAATGGTTTCATTAACTTGCAAAACACAATACTAACATTTTGAGTTAAGAAGGGTTCTAATAAGAAAAGTGCTTTTGTAAACACATTTGAGGTCTGTCCCGTCACAATGAACATGACTGGGATCTGTCCTTCATCCTCTGTCCCATTGGCTCGTGACATCTCGAAGGAGCATTCAAAAGGAAATGAGCCAGAAGCCTAGGAACAAAAACCGGTACCTTTAGGTCAGAAGTACCTGGCCCTGGCTGTTGAGGCACTTGTCCCATTGCGACACAGGTGGTGAACTGCTGTCTCCTAAAATTCCTGGGGCTGTGTTGTGAATGAGTTCAACACACACTGCTTGACGTCGTCGTCCGAAGTGAATTGTTTGCACCTCAGAGCCTCTTTTAGGGGACTAAAATGGCGTAATTGCAAGGAGAAGGGGTTGGTCTAGTTGAAGGGTAACTGATAACCTCCTGCCTCAACAGTCATGGCCAGGTACTTCTGATCTACACGCACTGGTTTTTGTTCCTAGGCCTCTGACATATTTCTTTTTGATTTCTCCTCATAGTAGAAATTTGCATATTACCAGATATCTTATAGTTAGCAGTCAACTTTTTCACATGAATTATCAGATTCATTTTTAATATTCATTTTGGTCACTAACAAATCAGCACTTATAAATTCAACTTATTACAATGAATGTCAGATGTTCTCCCAATTACCTTGCAAACAAATTCCAGAAGCTTTCTCTTTGGAATTTCTGCATCTGCTCGAGGCCCGGAGGAAAACTCGTACACAGGGGGATCTGTCCCTTCACGACGAACGTACTGGAGATATAACATGTGCACACAGTCCTGAAACAAAAACAAACATTCTTTGATACAAACACACCATCTCTGATTCAATGTGCATCACATACGTAACAGTGGATGACTTCATAGGATATATCGTTAAAACAAGAAGGGAAAACAATTGCAGGCAGAACATGTCGTGATGAAGTCCAGGATTTGTAGTTTCTTTAGAGTTTTAAATAGTTTATAGGAAGTTGATTAGAACATTGAACATTTAACTCCATTTGAACTTAAAGTATGATTTGCATTTGGAAGTTTATTCTTAAATTTTAATTTTGAGAAATTTAAGGAAAAATAGTGTGCACGAGTCTCAGTAGCTGGAAACATCAAGCAGATAGCAGCGATTGAATTGAATTGAATTCATGGCAATCGCAGAGAGGGCACTATTAAGGCAAGAACGTTCGGCCTTCAAAAATGTCACTATTGTTTAAAGAAATTTATTGAAGGAACAAGACCCAAGACTGTGGTATTTCAACAACAAGAGTAACATAATTAAAGATGACTATTCATTTGCACATAAAAAAGCAATGAACAGATATTAAGAGTGCATTAAGTATGAATAAATATTATTGTCATTATTTCGGAATGAATGTGTTGGTATTGTACTGTAACACTTGAAATTTTAAATGGTGTTGTCAATTGTCACATATTGTGTTCTTGATGTAATATTAGCAACAGAAGAAGTTAAGCAAAAACATGTGTTGAATAAATAAATAGTATAACACATTACGGATGTGGTGAAGTTAATACAAAGACGGTGTGTTGTCACCGGTAGTAATAATTCCCACCTATTTCCAATATAAAATTTATCAACCATAATCCCATACCAAAGGTACGTATTTCTAATGCCAATATAAACAGAACAGCCTCGAGCTAAAATTTTTAAGTGTTTATCGAGCTAACTGACAGTATTGATGACCAGGCATTTTAATGGCGCATGTGCCTGTGATCAGAAAAGGTTTCGGAAAATAAAATAAAAAGACGGTAAGACTGGCAATATCATAATATATGTACTACATATATTATATATATTAACAAAATATTCTATAATTGTTGCAACTTCAAACATTTTTTCCCTGAAAATTGTTTATTAAGGTATGAATTATTTTAAATGTCAGTATTTAGATAGCCAGTCTCGAATTATAGTTTAATGTATATTTTCATGTGAAATTTCAATTAACCCACTAATGTCCACTGTCGTCATTCGACAACATTCAATTTCAATTTTTGTTTAGAAGTCTGTTGAAGTCTATGTTACACATTTGAAAGTTATTATTAAATACAGGCCATTTGGATGTGGACTGTAACACAAAATTCAGCAAATAATTTTATGACACCAAAAATTAAAACATTCCAAAAGATATATACTCCCACAAATATGGTCCTCGTGAAATTATTTTTTTATTATATGCAGAAAGAATATTTATTCACTGAAATAAAAAATATCTCTAAGCAAAAGTATCTAAAAATTGGAGATAAAAAGATTTTTAAAATATTGATGCTGCTCTTGTTGAGGATATTGTTTGGAGCTGGATTGCACTCTCAAAACTGTAAATATTACCAATAGTAGGTCGGTTGCGTCGCCAGAATGTAGTGAGTCTGCAAAATACGCTATCTAAAGAGACAACTCCCAGAACGTCTATTGTTCAAGATATACAAAAATCAAAGCTGGGGAAACAAGGAGAACAGCTAAGGATAGGAGTCTCTCATCCAACGAACCTCCGTGGAAGAGAGTAGTGTCGGCTTACAGTAAATTCAAAGATTTAGATTCGAAGTGTGATAATTTGATTCAAACACTGAATTCCATTCATAATTTTGCCATTCATAATTCATTTTATCTAGCATTACAGTGTAGTATCTATTGCATTAGCACTGCAAAATTAGGGGTATGAATTATTGACTTGTTGAAAAAACTCTCTTACCTTTGTCAAAATTTTTTTCACATCACCAAATACTGGGTCTGGGACATCACCAACTTTGATTCGTAATCGCTTCAGAAAATCCCACACCACTTCTGCAAATAAGAAAATATAGGAAGACCAATTAATAAGCTCTACATCTAGTTACTCCACAAATAGTTTTACAACTAACGACATTAAAAACTGGAGACCACGAAAGGTAAAAAAATGCTTTAATTTTGTCTTAGGAATGTTTCATAAGAAGAACAAGCTAATCTATATTACTTTATTAATCATTGATGATAAACATTATAAATGACCAGACTTTCTGATATTTGATATACAAAGAAAGTTTTGATGTTAATGAATTTCCCACTATCAAAAGTATTAAATAAAAATAAAAGGCAATTCAAGAGCCTCTGTGAAAAAGTAAATACGGGTTACAGATGCACTAAAGGGTTAACCTTTATCTTTAACCTAGCAGGGTAAAAATCATTCAAGGTGTAAAATAGTAATTAATGGTAACAGTGTTGAACAAGTAAATAACTTCAACTACCTCGGTTGCAATTTTTAATACTGTCAAAAGAATGATATTAATAAAAAAATTCAGAAAATGTGTGGAACTATACGAAAGATCCTCATATCAAAAGGAAAAAAAAGAAAGATTTTTTTTTAAAAACAATTGAAAAAAAAAAAAACAATTTGCAAAAGAATTTTTTGAATGTTGAACTTAACAATGAATATATATTAAATAATAATAAAATAATAATAAATAATGAATAATAATAATAATAAAAATAATAATAAATAATAATAATTTCAAACAAATAAATTTTAATAATCATTAAATATCAATATGATAAAATAAATGCATATTCTGAGTGACAATTCAGAACAGGAACATATAATCTTATTTCAAAGACTGAGTAAATGAGTCTTTAACTGCAAGGGTACTAATATTAATAAATTATTCAATTCAACAACAGTTTTGCAGTCTATTGCATTTACCTGAAAGAGCACATCCTTGGCTTCTGCTATAATTGTTCTGAAACTCTGCTATGATGGGCAAAGAATAGTTTTGACAATAGATACTCTTTTGGCAGGAACTTTTTGAAGCTTCTTGAGAAAGAAGATACATTACAACTTCCGTCAGAGAAATCCTTCTTATCTGAATACGACAAACCAGATCATCAAGTCTGGTCATTTTTGAATGATTTTCGAGAATAAACGTCTATTAACACACAAAATATAAAAGGGAACAAGGAAGTGATATTTGACTGTTAAGCGCCACGAGTGCCATCCTGCCCCACCACGCAACTCACTTTCATGGAATATGCAGATTTGGGTGATAGTATTGTGCTCTTCGAGATAAGTTTTCTGTACGACACCTTTAGGCCGCACAGCTTGTGGCGCTACTGTTGAGTTGCTAGGGCAAGGCGCTGTTTTGAATCGAGAAGGAATGACTGCAAAGGATCCTTACATCATGGTTCAAACCACTACTGGCTGACAGAAGCGTGCTTCATACAATTGATAATTTTAGGAGGTTGTGGGTATTACTTGCGCAACTTTTTCAGGACGATGGATTGAAAAATGCGGGTAGAGTGGGAGTATTAGTTTACGAAATCAGCCACTAGATTTTATGAAGCAATGCCAATCTCTGGAGAATTAGTTATGGCCTTCGCAATGTTCACAACAGTTTGCGTTCTAAGTTTCAGGAGATCGAGGTATCTCTTGTGATACATGTTACCTCTTCGGTCATTGTATTAGGTTTTTGAAGTAATAAATATATAGGAAGTTCGTCTGTGCAAGAGAAAATTGTTTTTCTATTCGGCGTCAGTGAAGATGTGTTTGGAATGTTTCATCAGTCGTCGCTGCGCGCTTTTGCTTTCATCTGTTCGTTGTGGCCAAGAGAGGGGGGGAAGCAAGGTCATCGTTCAAAAAAAAGTTGCGCGAGTTAAAGTTACACAGCCTCCAGTCCCATGTTATAAAACATTTACACCGATTTACGTAACGCTGATGCTTGGTTTTGCACCAGGTGATAAGACAAGCTAAAATCTGCGCGACTAGAGACGTCATATTTGCCGGCATTTGCAGCACCTATTTGGGTTAGACTTTGAGTATGACCAAGTACAAAAGCTCAAAACTGTTTTTATAATACGCGTGCACAACTTTATAAAAATAAAATGAAATAAAAATTATTTTCTTTTGGGGGAGAAAAACAATAAACAACAAAATGTCTGATGCGAGTATTAAAATTTGATAAACATGGATTGTAACATTTATATAAAAATCAGAAATTGAAAATATATTGAGATATTTTTAGATACATAAATAGTTACAACAATTAATTACAATTTAAATAAGATATTTATTTGTAGGGAGATGGCTTTGTTAACGTTTCCACGTCACAACATATTTTTTTCCGTAAGAAGATACCTGCATTAATTAATTGTTTTTAGAATTTTTGTAACATTTTAATTTTGCATATTTGTATGTATTTTGGATATAATCACATATTGTTATCTATTATTACAAATTCTTACATATTCGTTGTATTTAAAATATTTACTTGCCGAAAAGAAAAAAAATATGAATGTTCCTGGAATCGTCTTTTTGCTGAAATAAAGCAAAGTACTAATACTCGTAGATACTGCGTTTCTATGATCTTCGGTTTTGCCGTACATTTTCAAAAACTTACTCCCTGCTTCCCGGAACGGAGAACTGAGAAATAAAGGAAGAACGAATGTTTGCAAAGGCAGAAAATAATCAAACAGTAGGCTTGTTGGACATGATTCGTAGAGCTCACTGTAAGTAGATCAAAACCCTCAGCAACCTGCACCTCGCCCAGTAG